TTATGTCCACGTTTTGTTAAATATATTATTAATATGGACGATTCGGAAGAATTTATGCAATATGTTGATTAAGAAATGCACGAATGGGTTTGAAAGAGATACATACGAGATATACGTATGAGATATGCAAGATCCTTTCCAGTTCTACGGAGAGCAGGAATTTGTTCAGATATGTTTCGGAAAAAAACCGTTATCGATGTATTAATACCTTTACCTTTAAGTAGAATTGAAAGTGCAAGAGGTTTACCGATTCCTGCTCATTTGCGACTTCAGATAGCATTAAGGTTCTATAATATGCTACTGGCAGTTTCCAGGTAGGTCAAGTGATCAATGCTTAATAGAATTACGCTTACACGAAAACAACTCTCATTATGTAATATACTATTATATTATGATGAATGATTGCAGAAGTGTGCGTCTTCTGTCTAGCTGAATATACGGTTTTCCTCTGGTGCAGATAAAGACGAGCTCTGGCGCTCCATTTGTTTACTCCTGTTCAAAATAACTGTTTACACAACTACTTCTTCAAAATTCGCTTTATCCATCAAACTTGTCTTTATCTATGATAAATGCCAATGGTACCAACTGGACGATTATAAGAAATATATGATTTTTTTTTGGTTTGCCCGGCGGCTGTAGGAATAAAAATCTTCGCGAAGACACCCAGTGTTCCGAACCCTGGGTAGCGTTGGATTCTTACCAACTAAAAAACCCTCTTTTTGTACTACGAGTTTTCGAGAGTTATCCTTTAAAATTTGTAGTCCTCTCTAAGAATTTGTCAGCTGCGGCATCCGTATGCCATAGCATCGCATTCTCTCCATGCTAGCTGCTTGCTAGCATGGGCATCTTATTAATTTACACCTTACTTCTATGTGCATGCTAATTACTACCACAGATTACAGAGTACCGCTGTGATCCGTGATTACTACTAACTCTACATAACCACACTTACAGCTTACTCCGTTTGCTACCTGTTGCCCTATTGGGCTAGTTGGTGTCTGGGCCTTTTTTTCCTGGGTCCCAGATCTTCAGGCGTGTAATTTACCAGATTTCGTAACTCTTCGTTGGAGTGCCTTCCAGCTTTCTCGAAGTCTTCGGCCGCTTTCCTTATGAGAAACTCTCTTAGTGGCTCCCACTCCAGGTCCCTGTAGATTTGGGAGTTTCTAACAAACCAGGGCGCATCTATGGCCATCCGCAGAAGTTTGTTTTCT